TCTTTATGTATAGGCAATTTACATGTAGTATTTGTAAATGAAGCTTTTTTTTCTGGTGTTACTCTTGTAGGAAAGTTCCTATTCTTGGAAAACACACCAAGAAAATAGTGTGTGGAGCATGGAACTCTGAGGTACAGACGAGGGTTAAAATTACAGCTCATGTGAATTGTACAAGACTGCCATCAGTATACATTTTGTAATACTTAAAAGTGTGATCATGATGTATGTTCTATAAACTAGAAACATCACAAATTATGAAAGGGGCAATAAAGGTTAAAACAACGTCATGCCCCCTCCCCCTTCTGCCTAACTAATGCCTGAATTTCAGGATTGCAAACTAAACACATGACTTCTATAGAAATGACAACTTTGTATTAAGGGGGGAGGGAGGGTCACAATGTTGATGCCCTGATTTTTTCAGGCATCTTCTTTCCAATTGCTTACATTGGAAATTTACTGTGATGATCATTCTTCACTCATCTACAACTGCAGTTCAAATATGAATTATTTCATATATACTTCACATTATGCTACTGAGATCTGATACATGTATCTCTGTCAGGCTGGCCAGTAGCAATTTCTTGGTACTCTTTACTTATATGTACATGTACACTCCTGATTAGATTGGTGCACTGAGAGAGTTGTGTTCCCGAGGAACAAAACACAATTGTTTAATCCCAACCCTACCAATAGGCGACACCCATTTATGCAAGTGGTTGTTAGGACACTATGAGCTAGGGTAAATTGTGTTGCCCAGTCTTGAACAAGAGATCCCTGGCCAGACAGAAACCTAGACGTCTTCATACAGAGTTTATCAACACAGACAACACACTCTCTAGACTACCATTAGTTACCGGTAGTTATGATTAGTTACATCTGCAGTTTTCTACATTGTCTGTGTATTACTTTGACATTATATTGGAAGGTACAATTTATTATTATTTAACATTATAAACATACACATACAGGTGTATCAAGCCAAGTACATGTTACATTGTAGCTTCTTAAATTGTTTATCAATTGCAAAATAGTTAACATTGTCCAAAAATGGAAAATGGAAATGCCCACAATGAAAAGAAAACTGAACAATTAACATTGTGACCCTCCCTCCAGTTGAAGCCCTGATTTTTTCAGGCTTCTTCTTTCCAATTGCTTAAATTGGAAATTTACTGCGATGATCCTTCTTCACTCACTCTCAGTAGCATAATTATTTATGCTAAAGCATTTGATTTCTTTCCTGTGCCAGAATTTATTAGCCCTTGGTGGAGAGGACAAGTGCATCACTGTGAGTAATGTAGATGGAGATACAATCAGACAGGTAAGCATACATGTGATATTTACAAATTTATCACTTATAAAATAATATACAATGTACATGTATGATCAGTCATGGTTGTGTTAAGGTCTTATTTCTTATAAAGTTTTTCTACTTTTTTGTTTGCATGGAATACATGTAGGCTACTATCCGTGCAGATCCCACTGAAATCCAGTTCAGTGAAATGAAGACTGATGAACGTAGCTCCATTGGTGAGACAACGGTAAGAGTTCTTTCAAGTTTCTCTAACATAATTGGCACCACTACTATTTTTTCCCATAATTTAATAAATTAGAACTTCATTTATGATTTAACTGCATGTATGACAGTGTAGACTACCCTTACAAGGTTGAAAGAAAGCGAGTGACATACTTTAATAGTACCTGTATTCTTAAAGCTGATACTTATACCTCATTCAAACTCCACATAGATGAGCTTAATAGTTGGAAAGAAAACCTTGTATCTCTACAACTTGAATGATCCTGACAACCCAATTGAGCTGGCTTTTCAGGTAATGGCATGCACCTATTGTAATTTTTAGTCTTATGCTACATTTAACTTTGTTTTACAATGTACACTGTATGTTTATTATTTTGAATAGCAGTATAGTGTCCCCATATAGATGTACACCTGAACATGGTACTGAAACAAGTTAAGTGCACATAATATGCTGAAATATTCATACCCCTGTACCTCCTTTACTGAATTAAATAAGTCACATTTTTTTTTCTCTACAGCAACGATATGGCAATATAGTGGATTACAAGTGGTGAGAAAAAATGTGCAGTTACATATATTTATTGAATTAATTTGTAGTTCCAGTCAGGTTTTTTAGTTTCTTATGTAACTGACAACACTACTTCAATGTAATTTTTTGAGAGCAGGTAAATTGACAATTAAGTTGCACTCACCTAAATGTAAAGCCTCATGCAATTTTGAGGGAGTTTTCAAATTTCTCTTGTAGTGTAAATCCTTGA